GAACACCACCAGCAGATGCGCCAGGAACATCACCAGCAGTCGCGCCAGGAGCACCAACAGCAGATGCGCCAGGAACACCACCAGCAGATGCGCCAAGAGAGCCATCAACAGATGCGACAGGAGCAGCAGATGCGGCAGCAGGTGGTTCAAAGCCAGCAACAACAGCAGCAGCAACAGATGCGGCAGGAGCAGCAAATGCGTCAGCAGGTGGTTCAAAGCCAACAGCAGCAGCAGCAACAGCAGCACCAGCGCCGCTCCTGGTCATCCAGCATCCAGCAGGACCAACTTCGCATTGGCGGAAGCATTATAGTAAGTACAAGAAATTAATCGCAAAACTCCCTTTACCTACTGTGCCGGGTGTATCTGAGCGCAAGCCGCGGTGTTGCGGGCTTGCCTACCCCATTTCCCCCCAAGGCGCCATGACCCCTGCAGCCTACGAGGGTATGCAATCCCGCAACACTGCGTCGTCTGCTGATACACCAGTTACTTTTCGTTCGCACCTTTTACTCACCTTTTCGTGCGTTTCGCCTTCAGGGCCAGCAGATCGAGTCCCGAGTGACGCCGGTGGCCGGCATGTCCTCGGCCAGCATCAACCAGCGGACCATGGTGTCGCGGCGCTCCAACGCCTCGAACATCTCCAGCATCCTGGCCGACAGCAGCACCACCAGCAGCAGCAGCATGAGGGTCACCTCCCTGTACAAGAGCGAGTTCGAGCCACGCGTGGTGGGGCCGTGCCCTGCCGCCAGGCTGGCCGGCGCCGCCGACCCCTCCCCCTTCAAGCACACGAGGGACACCAAAGCGCACAAGTTCTTCCTGCCCACCGTGTCGAACTGACCCCGGCCACAGGGGCCCGAGAGGGCCCACGAGGCCTTTGACTGGATAGACCGACAGAACGTCCTCTGTAGAGTCACGATACGTTTACTGGCGTAACATTTACTCTGCTATTATTTATTATTACGAGAATGAGTTGTGAAAATACTTTAGTGGTTTAAAGAAACCACTTGGCGGTTTGCCATCTATATTTCGGCATTCCGTCCTTGGGACTGAACTAAATAGTGCCAATAAGCAGTTATTTGAATTTCTGTGTAAATAAAATACCCACGTGAGTGGGTTACTTTAAGTTCCACCAGGAAAAAAATATTTATTGTGTAGATCAACTAACATAGACAAATATGCACTTAGTAGAGCTTTTAAGGTTGCCTGCACTTCATCCAACTGCATGTAAGGCCTACCTGCTCTAGGTGATTTTATAGAGCTGTTGTTTTGTTTGTTTGTTTTTTTACTGCTTTTAGATTTGTAAGCAAAGTATCAAATATTGGGTGAATGTGATAAAAGATCTATTGTGTGAACTTTTCGTACTTTTATAACAATAGTAACAGTTACTTCTGAGATGAAGAACCCAGTATAATCTGTGATACAAAATTCGAGAGAGGGAAGTCCCTGCCAACATGAGGGATTGATACAAAAGGTTGTGAGTGCCATACTGATTTCCCCAAGTCACTGACGAGTTACCAAACTTTTACTGCAGTCTGATATGTCGCATTCCTATTTTTCAAATATGCTCTATTGTCATGTTCACATAGGAGATATCTACAATAACCAAGTTAAGCTACTTCCTCATTGGGTGTTGAACTTATAAGAGGAATTACAATGAACTGTTCCATACCAGATGGTTCACAATTTTGCAGTTATACTGTAGCCTGCATAGTACCATGAATATGGCGCCGAGCCAATAGGCAACCCACTCTACATTAAGGTACAATATAACTACGAAATACAGGGGGATATCAGCTGAGTAGTCCACAAAACTTCCAATAATGTAGATTTGTAAGTTGGAGAACAATGTGAAATACACATTATATTTTTCATACAAAATTATAATTGCTATTATTCAAAACTGCTGTATGTAGCAATTTGTGATAACTGACAAAGTTATGATGGTGACTTTTTTTTGTGTCTAACTTTTGTTTGCTTTGCCCTTTTAACTTTCTTAAGCTATATCAGAAGCACATGGCACAAAGCAGTGTGGTTTTCTAGAACTGTTTTTGATTGTTTTATTGAAATTCAATAAAGAATGCTTTATTTTACTATTATTGGTTCCCTTCAATGTAAATTTTCTGTGAGTGCACATTTATTTTGCCTTCAGTCAACGAGCAATATCTAGCTGGCACTTATCCTTTGCATTTTCCTCCGCATGACAACAATATGCACCCTTTAGCAAAGTTGCAGTAATGCATTCAAAATCTGTTACTTTCGCACTTCATCAGCACAATATTGTGCTGTACTCAATGTACAAGCGTACAACATATTATATTAAACAAAGAGCTTCGACACTGAATAGGAATGATTTCCTACAGAACGGTCTGAGGCAAAAGCTTAATTTTGAGAGACAAAGGTTTGATTGAAACATTTTGCAACTTTGCATGCTTAAAGAGGGTGCATTCACAGCTTTTTCAAGTTGATGAAGCTACTGGCTTCAATGTATTTTGTTGCTCGAGAAATTTTAATTTAGGCTTTAAACACAGTTTTAGCAGCAATTTTATTACTATACAATAGTATTCATTTGATAAATTTTAGAACGAAGCCCTGTCATCACCCCACCCACGCTACTCACTGCCCCACTTGCCCGATAGAAATCAAATATAAAAAATATAAATTATTTCTGACAGCTAAAAGACTGATAAAAAAAGAACAGTGTGATGCATAGTAATAAGAAAAATGTACGATACTATTATATTAAGCCCCACCGTTGGTGCAAAAAATATCTATATATAAGGACACAAATAAACATGCAATAAATGTGGTTATGGTTAGGTATCTAAATAATTACCAATGAAATTATTTTACATCCACATACCTCTTTCAACAACAATGTCTCTTTAAAACTCTCTTAAAAATCTTCCCAAGACAAAATATTGGATCGTTGAATCTGCAGCAATGAGCATCGGCATCGGCACATGGTTTTGAGCTCAATAGCAATAGCAATGGCAATCTCGACCTCGACTCCACTCCATCCTGGAGGAGTTGTGTTTTTGTCTCGTTGGGCGCGTGTTGATTTTAAACGAACTAACTATAGAAAGGTAAATATATTTAAATCCATTTGAAGAACTTGATTATTACTAGTTAAGCACATTTGTATTTTCAAACATGGCTTTGGAATGACACTACGATGTGTCCTAGATGTTGAATGAAATTCATTCGTATACATTTGAGGTTAAGTAGGTTTTAAGTTAAAGTTTACTCAAATGTTTGTAGGGTTTAACTGTAGCAAATATATTTTCTTCGTAAAACACATGATTTGGTTGGTATTGAGTTCAGTGTGCTTCTCTCTATCATATGGGTTTGGATCACTGCTGTCCTTCAGCTTTTACTCGCCTCTGCCTGGTTCTTTGTTTACAAACAAGACACTTGCCCTATCTAAACGGTGTAGTTTCCATTTCACTGTCTAAACTGTATCAAGGTTCCATGAAGATGGTCTGTACAGCATTATCGGTATTTTCTGCAGAGGTTCTGGGGACCATTGCTGCTGAATGAGGAGCTGAGCGGTAATCTATGAAGCATTACCCATCAAATGTCTCTCTGGATCTTGCCCCATCTGATCGGAAGAGGCCTAGTCATGAAAGGCATTCGGCTAAGAAGTTTGAAGACAGTTGCTGCGCTTAGATGCAACTCGGCTGATTCTAAATTTTTATCTCCCGGAATAAGACAACATCTTTTCCGTAATCAAGACCATCTCGTAAACAACGAAACAAACCACTCAAAGCCTCTAGAGAATACTTTTCAAATTCCACCTCTACAAGGTAATATACAGTCCCACGTTCAAGAATTATCTGAAAGGCAAGCTAGTAAATATAGAAGTCTTTTGAATAGTCTCGCTCTTGCTACCTTTCCACCCATTCCTGACAAGTGGATATTTGAGGCTGGTTGGACGTGCTATAAAGTGGGATTAGAACCACAGCGAGTTGAATATCCTGATGAAGACGCCTTACACTTTGATGCTGAGGTGTGTGTGCGTGCAAGTTTTGCACCAGTTCTTGCCACTGCCGTCAGTCCAACAGCCTGGTATTCTTGGGTGAGCCCAGCTCTTACTCAACCCTCTGAAGTGCAAAGTAAAGTAGTCTGTGTGAAGGATTTAATTCCATTGGGTAATCAAGACAAGAAACCTCGGGTTGTTATAGGACATTTTGTGTGCTACGATAGTGCTAGAATTCAAGAGTGTTATGACTTACCTGTATCAGGATTGAAATTTTTTGATACTATGGCTGCCCATGTATCAGTCAGTGGATTGACAGATCTTCAAAGATACTTTTTGCTAAGGGCTCCAAACAAACCAAACTGGGCTGAACTAGCCTGTGGTAATAGTTTGAGCCAGTTGCATCTTCTTTACTGTGGTAGTGAAATTGATAAGTCAGAAAGAGATATATTTGTGAAAGGAACAATGAGCGATATTGCTGAACGATTCCAAGAACTTTGCTCCTATTGTGCACTGGATGTGCAAGCAACCCATTCGGTTTTTAGCAAACTTTTTCCGTTGTACTTGGAAAGATTCCCTCACGGAGCAACTTTATCAGCACTTTTAGACATGTCTTCTATGTTTATTCCTGTGACTGGTGATTACGAAAATGTTATGGATCGTATTAGTCAAACTTCTGCTGCAGAAGATGAAGAAGTGAAAATGCTTTTGCTGGAGCTTGCAGGAGATGCATTATCTCTCATGGATAACCAAAAGTACAGACATGATCCTTGGATGTGGGATCAAGATTGGTCTGTTTCTACTAAAAAGACTAAAAATGGACCAAATCATCCAAAGTGGTATAAAAAATTTCTCTCTCAAGTCAGTGTTCAGTCATCTGGTGAACTAGATGTTCAGATTAATTTTAGGAAAAATATTGCTGCAAAACTTATGCAGCTTTGTTGGGGTAGTTTTCCTCTTCACCACGAGGTAGAACATGGATGGGGAATGCTTTTACCTGCAATGAAGGCTTCAGCAGATCAGGAGAATAATGTGCCTGTAGAAAGTATCACAAAGCTCTGCAAATCTTTCTCACCTCAACCTCGTATGAGCTCTGTTCCTACATTAAAAGACTATGTTTCACTTCAGAGTGGAGTATTGGCATCAAATTCGGGTGTTGCTGAAGGTCAAAAGGGATTTAAAGCAGAAAAAAGTGTTCAATTTGACATCCAAAATGGACTAGTTTTCAAGAAACTTCCTCACTACATTAGTATGGAGAGAAATGTTGGAGGTGCACTCTCAATGAATATCCTCACTAACTCTTGCTTAAGGTCTGGAAATTACAAAGCAAAAAAAATCCTCAACATCTTACGAAAAAATATTTTTTGGAAGAGAAGTGGAAAGTTGTTTGAAAACTTGCCTGTGGTTTGGTTTGACAGAGATTGCTCTATGGGAGCTGTTGTTCCTAGTATTTCTGTATGTGGTGATTTCATCCGTCTACCAAAGGAACCATTTTTTTCCTCACTTTGCAGTGAGCCCATCAATACACTTGGAACTGACATTAGCCAGGTCATGAAAGCTCCTGAAGGCTGGTGTTTCATCTCAGCAAACATTCCTCAAACTGATATATGGATGGCATCTCTCTTGGCTGACAGTGTTAAGGGCAATTACTGCTCCACTCCCTTAGGACAAATGTATGTTGATGGCTCTTTATACTCAACTGTTTCTGAGCATATGAAGATGACAGTATTGCAGTCAGCTTTACTAGTTCATGCTGTCCTCTATGGTGCAAACAAAAGATACTTGGCTAAAATGCTAAGAGAAATAAACCCTGCTTTAGGGGAATTCAGTGTTCATCAGAAGATTGATCGGCTTTTAGAGTTCCTTTGCGGATGTCCATATCCCCCCAAAGCAAATAATGACATAGTACCGAAGGGAGTCTTTTCTAATTTACAGTTGTTATTCAGAGAAGCCTCTGAGAGCAAAATCATAAAAACTCCAATCCTTCAAAGTAGACTGAGCAGAGTTTTAGAAAGTGATGGGCAGAAATATTTTTCATTGATTCAGCACTGGCTCATAAGAAGTTCTGTTGCAGACTATCTCCATGTGCTTATGGCAATTTTTCAAGATCTTTTTCCTACTGCAAGATTGTGCACTGTTGGTTCTCATGATATGCATATCAAATACCTTGTACATGAAGACAAGAAGTACCAGGCAGCAAAGTCACTTCATGTTGCCCATTTATATGCTAAAGCATTTTGTGCCTCCCAGGTTGGATTTTCAGATGTCCCACAAGTAGCAGCAGAACTTCCATTTGTTACTTTAAGTTCACATTTTAAGGCAGATGTGTCGAGTTTTACTATAAAACTGACTTTTCAAGAAGCTCTTATTCACACTGAAAATGATTGCTCAAACAAAAAAAATGACCAATTCTAATCATGTGATTTGGAAGAAAAATATTTGAGGGAGGAACCAAATTTTTAATAACAATACATGAAAAATAATTTAATTTTTAAGTAATTAAAGAATAATAAAAAGAGATTTTGTAGGACTAATTGCTTATTCTGTGATCTTGCAGTGTAAGTGGCCATGGAAGGAGCTGTGGATATTCAAGAAGACAAGTAATGATCATTATTTTAAAACATGATTCTGAATCATATCATAAGAAGTCCTAAAGCATTAAAAAAAATTAAAGTATGCACCTCAAAGCATAATGGCCATGTCAACCAAAGCACTGATTCAACCGTTATTTTAAATGCTGAAACTACTTACGCCATTCCTCAGTCAGTGGAACAATCTCCAAAGGATGAGAAGGGAAATGATAGATTAACAGCAAACAAATTGATAAATGATGGGGCACGAATTAATCCTTGTGGCATTCAGATGTTACCTAGCAGTATTTATCAGCACCTTTTTGGGAAGCAAAATCCACCTCATACTGACAAAGATGTGCGTACCTCTCAAGCCAATTTGAAGAAATATGGTTTAAAAATTGACAGTGCAACCTCTGTTCCCGAGGTCGACTTGAAACTTCCACCATTAGAAGGTAGAAATGTGGAAGAGCACTTCATGAATATTGGGAAACAGCAGAGCGAGCCCTACCGTCTACTCATTGAAAAACTTACTGAGCCACTTCCAGAAAAGCCCTCAGTCTGGGAGCTTCAAGCTGGTTGGACGAAATATGTACCCGGAGAACCTCCCCTCAGAGTCAGCTATCCTGAAGAAGATGCCATTGTTATTGATGTTGAAGTGTGCCAACATGCTGGTGGAGCCTTGCCTACTCTTGCTACTGCTGCTAGTCCAACTGCATGGTATGGATGGGTTTCATCAAGTCTTATTGATGGTGGAATGTCTTCAATGAAGGAGCAATATACCACACAATATCTTATTCCCTTAGAGAGCTCTGCATCATTTAAAGTTTCATCATCAAAAAATCTCAAAAGACCAAAAGTAGCTGTTGGGCATAATGTTATGTATGATCGAGCTCGTTTCAAAGAACAATATTTACTTGAACCAACTGGAATGCGATTTGTTGATACCATGTCACTACACATTTGTGTCAGTGGAATTACAAGCTACCAGAAAGCTGTTTTAACAAGGGCCAAAAAAGCCAATGCTGCTGAAAAGGATGAGTCAAGTGAAAGTGATGAGCTTGCAACTGATGCAGAGGATTTAGCTGCCCTTCAGGCAAGTTCATCTTTAAATGGATTAGCAGAAGTGTTGAAGCTGTATTGTGACAAGCAGCTGGATAAAGCTGGTAGAGATGTTTTCATCGATGGAACTCTGAATGATGTTAAACGTCACTTTCAATCAAGCATGTCATACTGTGCCTCTGATGTGTCTGCTACTCATGATATCTTGAGATCTCTTTTTCCGTTATTTTTAAAACGATTTCCTCATCCAGTGACTTTGGCTGGAATGCTGGAGATATCCATGGCTTATCTCCCAGTAAATAGAAACTGGACACAATATATAGAAAATTCTGAACAGGCTTACCAAGATTTAGGCGTGGAAGCAAGATTTCAGCTTGCAAGAAGAGCTGATGAAGCTTGCAGTTTATTGCATGGAGAAAAATTCCGTAATGATCTTTGGATGTGGGATCAGGATTGGAGCTTACAAGAACTACGTTTGACAAAAAGAAAAATCAAAACAAAGAAGGTTCAAGACAGTGAAAAACTTGATGAACCAGAAAATGTTGCCACTGAAGAACTGAATGATGAAGCTCTAGGTGAGCCACATATTATTCTTGATGAATTGAAAGCACGGTGCAAAGAGTTTGAAGAGGAAATTGTAGCCAGCCCAGAAGTCGAATCCTTAATTTCAGGCGGTGTACAACTCCCTCTAAGGCCTCCTCATTTGCCTGGCTACCCGGCATGGTATCGCAAACTTTGTGAACCTCCTAAGAGAGATGACTGGTCACCAGGAGCTCAACTCATAACAACAAAAATGCAAGTGGCACCTAAACTACTTCGCTTGACTTGGGAAAACTACCCTTTACATTTTATAAGAGGGGAGGGCTGGGGCAGCCTAAGACCAGTGGATTCAGATGAAATATCATCAACTGAAGAAAGTAGTGGCCTACCCTTACAAGAGTTGGTTGCACATTGGAATTCTATTCCAGTAGAGGAAAGAAAATATGGTGGTCACGTGGATATCTGCAATGGTGTAACATTTTCCAGATTACCTCATAAAAACGGTCCTGAATTGAGAGTTGGAGATCCTCTAGGCAGAGATTTTATAGTAAAGTTCTCAGAAAATACATTATCAGGGGATTCAGTAGCTGAAAGAATGATGGATATCGCCAGAAAACTTTCTTATTGGAGAAACAATAGAGTCCGTATAATGGAACAGTTAGTTATTTGGCTCTCATTGAAAGACTTGCCACAGAATCTTGAAGAAAAGGTAATTGGAGCCATACTCCCCCAACTGGTTGTTTGTGGAACCCTTACCCGTAGAGCTGTTGAAAGAACGTGGATGACTGCATCTAATATTTCCAAGGAACGAATTGGATCTGAATTGAGAGCAATGGTTCAAGCTCCACCTGGGTATAGTATTGTTGGTGCAGATGTTGATTCCCAAGAGTTGTGGATTGCATCATTAATTGGTGATGCATATGCTTCCAAAATTCATGGGGGAACACCTTTTGGATGGATGACTATTAGTGGACGCAAGTCAGAAGGAACTGATATGCACAGTGTTACAGCAAAAGCTGTGGGAATATCCCGCGACCATGCAAAAGTTATCAACTATGCTAGAATATATGGAGCTGGAATACCTTTTGCTGAGCAATTACTCAAGCAATTTAATCCATCTATGAGTTTAAATGATGCTAAAACCAAAGCAAGAAAGATGTTTCGCATGACTAAAGGTCAGCGTATGTATGTACCAAAAACTGCTTTCGTTGGGAATGTTCCATATGGACCTCATTCTGCTTATGATGCAAGTGTAATTGCTAATCAATTTGGTGCTGATAAGAAAGATTTATTCAGGTTGATCTGGAATGGAGGAACAGAGTCTGCTGTATTCAATCGTTTGGAAGAAATTGCTTATGATAGAACACCCTGTACACCATTCCTTGGAGGAAGATTGAGCAGAGCTTTGGAGAGCCAACATAATAAAAATCTTCCCACCCGAATCAATTGGGTAGTGCAAAGTGGGGCAGTGGATTTTTTACACTTGCTCCTTGTAGCATTTAAGTGGCTTGAACCTGATGCTAGGTTTTGTTTGAGTTTTCATGATGAAGTACGCTATCTTGTACCGGAAGACAAAGCCCATCATGCAGCATTGGCCCTGCATACAGCTCATTTGCTCACAAGAGCATTTTGTGCTTCCCGTCTGGGATTAATTGACTTGCCTCTCTCTGTAGCCTTCTTTACTTCTGTGGAAGTGGACAAAACTCTACGGAAAGAAGCTCATGATAACTGTCAGACCCCATCAAATCCTCATGGTCTCCTGAAAGGATATGGCATTGCATCTGGTGAAAGTCTAGATATTTACCAGTCTATAGACAAAGCTGGTGGTCCTTATGCCCTTATTGCAATCTCAAAAAGGTACTATATATACTCTATTTTCCCCCCTTTTTGTTGGTGTTAGTAGAAATTTTTAACTATTTTATGACTGTTAGAACATAAAAAATGTTGTGGATTTAAGCCCCAACTCTATGTAGACATCATCCTGTGCTTTTGGCTTGGGCGCTTGGCCTAAAAAATCAAAATATGAATGTGTACTGATAGGCTCTTATGCTAATTTATGTTCATTTCTATTCTGCTCTGTTTTCAGGAAGGATGTCAGTCGCAACAAAACGTAAACATGTGATGCGTAGTGTGCTGGCAGAGGATTTGGAAATTCCCAAGACAAACCAAGACGTTGTGAAAATTCGTGCTAGTGTAGGAAATAACCTGCATGAAGTGGAGACTGCAACTGGAGAAGTATACCTAGTTTCAATGCCATCTCGTTTTAGGAAAAGTGTTTGGGTGAAACGAGGAGATTTCATTCTGGTAGAACCTATTGAAGAAGGTGACAAAGTAAGAGCCGAAATGGTGCGGCCAATTACATCAGATTATATTCGTTTTCTTCGTGAAAATAGCAAATGGCCGTCTGCCTTTGAAAAAATAGAGTCAGGTGACGATCTTGAAGGCGGAAACCCAAATAGGAGACCTATGACAAACTGTGACTCAAGTAGTAGTGATAGTAGTAATGATGAAAACTGATGCAAAAAATGTAAAATTTCTGGTTTTCTATAATTGAGAATATCTGTGCGCTATACTGCTTTATCTTGTTCCCCTCCAACTTACCAATTCTCTTTGTTTTTTGTTTTTTTTATTCTGCTGTGGTTCCTCCCAAATATTTAATTTCACTCACAGAGATTGTTCAAGAGATATGACCAAGTATTCTATGTGTCAGAAAGTGATCTCAGCTTATTGTAATTAATCTTCCTTTCACCTCTTTCTTAGTCCTGTTAAAATAAATTGTATAGCTGCTTAAGTTTATTTTCTGATATTGAATGTGCTGTGATTGGCAATAAAACTATTTGCTATTTTTGAAAACAACATTCTCCAAGGAAATATTAATTTGAGTGCTGATTTCTCATTATTCCATGTGATTGACAACAAAACCAAAACAGACACTTTACTTTCACAATGAATTATTTATTCTCAATGTGCTTGTTCTCATGACTAAGTTCTCTTGATGTCATAAAAAGAGAGCCACCGGTAGATGACTCAGGACCTCAAGTGAGGAAGGTGTACTCTTAGTACTATAAGAACAGAAATTCATCCCCAAATGCAACTGTCTAATTTTCCAGTCATAATTCATTCAAGCTTGGTCTGCAGAGACCAGGCAAAGACTGCATTGTTGACGTTGGGCAGGGGAAAAATAGAAACAAGAAAGCAAAATAAATACAAGTATATGCTATAAAGGCATGTTCATATTTTGATACAGATTTATAATATATGTATATATATTTATATATGATAGATACATAGATAAATACATCAGGGATGCATCATAAACTTTATGAATTCAGTATAAATTCTTCAAATTAAAGCTCAAGCCTACAATAAGAACTCAAGATAACCCTAAAATCTACACTAACAAACTTATTGTGTAGTACAAGTAAGGTTCGAATAATTTCTGCTTTAAAAGAGCTTCAAACCTAGAGAAATAATCACAGATCTTACTGCTAAAAGCCCTTTCCATTTTCGACCCTGCAACTCCAGTTTAGGGTTGGGAGCATCACGTGGGCTACATTGAAGCAAAAACATATTCTAGATGTATAAATTTTCAATTATTTTACCTCATCTTTAATTGATGGTGAGTTAAAAAAATGAAATAAGAAAACCAACAAGAAGATTTCCTTTGAAAAATGATGGGACTCCTTGGGATGGTTTGCTAATAATCAATTTCTCCATGAAAGTTCAGTATCACATTACCTTAATTGGGCACTATATGGACAGAATTTAAAACTTTTCAAGGACAAAGTACCCGGGTGCATCAAAATTGAATAGCAGCTCCAACAAAATGAGAAGTTGTTTGATGAGTGGAAAAGACATTCATCCATCCTGCTGAGCATAAAATGTACAAATACAGAATTTAACAGAATTGTTGTAAAACAGAAAATTTCAATGCATTCAACTTCATGGATCATTGACCAGAACTTCATAAGCCAGATTCTTAAAATGCCAGTAAAACATGGTAAGCAGGAATATTGCTTGTGAGGTTTCACAACCACTCAGTTAAGGCTAGATTACAGTACACATACATGGAGGTATAACTACAAATAAAATTACCTCAAGAATATCAGGATGTAATGTAGTTAATAGAAACAATCTGTAAAGCCTAAAATTAAATGTGTCTTGTCAGGAGACGTTTCTCAAAGAAAACTTTTATACAGTAGCCTCACACACTTCTTTTAACATTGTCTCCCTCTTCACATATTTTTTTCAAAATCTTAAGAGAGGTTGGAATTGTAAGAGGATGTGTAAGAGGGAACAATTCTTGATCAAGTGAGGGAAAATAGTTCAAAACTTAACAAAAGAACAAATTAAAGTCTATATAAATATGTACTAAAAATTGCACTTACTTTCTCCTATTTCTAAACCCAACTCCACAAGAGGTGGAGTTGATAGAATGGTAAGGATAATTCAAAATTATTTTTAATGGTTAGTTAAAGAGGAATACAATTAAGATCAACTGCAAAAGATTGTTTGGAAAACTTTCAGGATTGCTAAAGAAAAACAAAGAAAACAAAACAACAAAATAACTCAACCTCCTGGCTTTAAACTATAATACCCAACAACACTTACACATTTCCAACTAAAAACTGCTGTTCTTGGAAAACACTGAAGCCAAAACATAAGAGATAACCAACAGCACTGTTTGAAATATAGAAACAAGATCCAACGCACCTCAATAAAACATTAGCATTGGGTGGAGACTAGTGAACTTCATAACTTTTGACCAAATGCAGTTATTTTCAAAAAATGGTCAAAGTATATGATAGGAACCTTACATGCTAGAAAATCACAATGTTACATGAATGTTTCCAGAAGAAACAAGCTTGATAGAGAGAATACAATATATGAAGTTAAAAAGCAAAAGCCAGTTAACAAACAGAGCCACAAACCCCTGCATGTAATCTAACTTACAATTGTAAGTTACATGATGCATTTTGTGATTGACCATTTCTAAAAACGCAAGTTTTTAACACAATGTAACACTCAAAAAATCACAGTGATGAGCAAGATAATGAAGTTGTGAGACGAGTTTGCTAAGCTGAAATAAGCTTCCATTTAAAAAAAAAATGGACTGAAATATATAAAAAAAGGTAAACATCATTGGGACAAAAATAGATATGGCAACACCAAAAGAACTGTACTTTCATTCTTTTAAAGGAATATGCAATCAACATTCATTGCAGACTTGATAACCTGACTATACTGTAGCTGTAATACACTTCTTGAAAGCAGATATTTAAAGGTTTGATGCCGGTCAGGAAAAAGATAGAAAAAAAAAAGAAAGTACAGAAGAATAGAAATAATAATAATAGTCAAAGGTCATCTAAAATCTATTTTGTGAATTTGGATATGAACTAAAGAGATTTATTAACCTGAAATGAGAGATTTACCCAACATCAGTTGGTGCTGATGACATACGTATCAAATTGTTTCACCTAACTTTTAGTACAGTATCCTGTACATCAAGTATATCAATTACAAAGAACAATTTTCCGAAAAGTAAAAGTGCTACAGAGTAAACAAAACATGTGGTACATTGCAGATAGGTATATGGAATGAGAATAATTTGAACTCATCACAAAAGTTTTCAGGCACAATTAAGCTTTCAACAGAGTGCTTTTAGAATATGTAAAGCACACATATATTGCGCAAAAAAATGGACCATGAAAGAAATTTTCCAGACAAATTCAAAGGTGTTATTTGCATATCATATCTGTTAGTTAAGGCTACCTAGTGGAGGGACCTGCTTCACAATCATACATGCTCCCTGCTGCTGAGGTGGAGGGGTGTGAAGAAGAAGTTGATGGTTGTGGATCTTCACTATGGGAACGTTTCTTAAGTTCATCCATATACTCCTGTTGAGAAGTTGCTAGAACTTGTGCCAGTATCCCAGCATCATCCCATTCACTTAAACCTGAAACAAACATGCACTACATTTTAGATAAATGTCCAATTTAATATTATTTATTATTTACAGACAGAAAGTGAATGTCCATACCAAACATTTCAGGAGGAAGCAGATTCAGAAAGGATGCAGTCTCCATCAATTTAAAGCCTTCAATATCACTGACATTTCCCCGTGGAGAAGAACTTGTCGCTGCTTTTGTACTGCTCTCCCCTTCACACTGACTAGTTGAAGTGGAACAAGCAGATGTATCATTTGATGTGGAAGTTGATGCAACTGACTGTAGGGGATCTTCTCTGCTAGTGCATGGAGAGGAGCGTGGTGAAGCTCGAGGAGAGCTCCTTGGTGGTGTGCTGACACTCAGACGGCTGCGAGGAGATTGGCGAGGTGACTGACGAGGAGACTGCCGAAGTTCCAGAGATGTGAGAGTAGCACTTGATGTGGCAGTAGCAGAACGAAGTGCTTTATCTCGCTTTTCATTGTCTTTGATCCACTGAAGGTAACTGTCTCTAGCAACCTGCTCCTCAATTGCTTCATTAGTTGCCTCCCAATCCGTAGCTCGCAACTTGTCCTCCAGCATAGTCTGGAAAAATGAATTTATAGTTTTGATTTGAGTATATCCAGCTTGTAATTGCACTTGCTGAAATACATATTAGGTATGGATCATCTACCTGTTCAATAGCTAACTCTTCACTATGGCGAGTTACATCTTTAATCAAATTGCGATCTGCAGAACCTGGAGAGTAGCCAGGTAAACCAAGACCCACTCCAATAGTTGCTTTGTATGGGTCAACAATGCTGTTGTAATGACTACCACGTTGATAGGACAAGCGGATGGGTTCGTTATCCGTTTTGTGCATTCCATGAAAAGTGTTAATAGGATCTTCAATTTAAAAAAAAAACAGTGGGGTTCTCAAAGAAAACTTTTATACAGTAGCCTCACACACTTC